CTCTTCTCTATATACACTACATCATGGGACCCATCATTCAGGCGCATGGTTTTTCCTATCATTGCTATGCTGATGGCACGCAGCTCTGCCTCTCATTTCAAACAGATGATTTAATGGTACCTGATCGGATCTTAGACTGCCCGATGGACTTCTCGGCATGTGATTCTTGATGACCAGCTGACATTTAAAGATCACATTGCAAAAACAGCACGATCATGCAGGTTTGCACTACACAACATCAGGAAAAATCAGACCCTTCCTAACAGAGCATGCAACACAGCTTCTCGTCCAGGCCCTTGTCATTTCTAGGTTGGACTATTGCAATCAGACCTCTGCAAATGATACAGAATGCAGTAGCACGTCTTGTTTTCAATGAGCCCAAGAGAGCTCATGTCACACCGCTTCTCATCTCCCTGCACTGGCTTCCAGTCGTGGCTCGCATCAAGTTCAAAACATTGGTGCTTGCCTACAGAACTGCCACACCCTCCTACTTCCGCTCTCTCCTATGCATCTACACACCCTTCAGAAGCCTGCAGTCAGAAAATGAGCAGTGACTCATAGTCCCATTGCAGAGAGGAACAAAATATCTCTCAAGGACGTTTTCTTTCACCGTACCCTGATGGTGGAATGACCTACCTAACTCCATCCGAACAGCCAAATCCCTCACAATATTCAAGAAACAACTGAAAACTCATCTCTTGCGTGAGTATCTAACTGTCTCCAATACTATAATAATTAAAAAAATAAAAATCTATACCTTCACTTTTTCTGTTCTCTTGTCCTCCTGTTCTAGCTTTTTACTATTTTGAACGATGACTGGAACCTTGTATAACAGACACTTCTCGTGTTTATTGCCATCTTATGATACATCACTTGTTCTGTTCCTCAACTGTAAGTCGCTTTGGATAAAAGCATCTGTCAAATTAATAAATGTAAATGTAAACATAGTGGCCCCTGACACATTTTTTTTGCTTAGGGCCCTCAGAAGTCTAGGGCCAGCACTGACTATGTTATATTGTATCAGCTAAGACCCTACAAATACCACCCAAATGACAGTCTGTAAACACAAAAACCGCCTCAGGTTACGTATGTAACCCTAGTTCCTCGAGGGAACGAGACGCTGCGTCGAAAACGCTAGGGGAACGCCCTTCAGCGTGACGGGCTCTGAACCTCGTGTGTAATCAGACCAATAGATGGGCGAGACGTTACAGCGGGTGACGTAATGACCAGGAGGCTATAAAAGCACGTGCGGTGAGACCAGCGTCAGCTCCTAGGAATGAAGCAAGCGCTGGCAGGGACGCCGGAAGTAGGGCACCGAGACGCAGCGTCCCGTTCCCTCGA